AAATCCCAATATCATTCGAGCCATGAAATTTAAATAAGCACATTACATATGTGAAAACATGAATCATGTTTTATCCCGACAGGGACTGGAACATAGGCCTTATGATTACTAAGTCAAGGCACTACCACTACACCAAAGAAAATTAAATGGAATCCAACCTAATAGCTTATATCTGCTATTCTTAGGAATGAACGCATTCTAGCTGAATGCCACTAGGTTCATATTACAGATTCCCCAACATAATTCGTGGCTTCATTTTAGCATTTAATTCAATTCCCAATCTCATTCGTGCCATGAAATACAAATAAGCACATTACATATGTGAAAACATGAATAATTTTTTACCCCGACCGGGACTCGAACCTAGGACTTATGATTACTAAGTCAAGGCGCTACCACTGCACCACAGAAGGTTAAAATGAATCCAACCTTATAGCTTATATCTGCAATACTTCGGAATAAACGCATTCTTACTGAATGCCACTATGTTCATATAACAGTTTCCCCAACCTCACTCGTGGCTTCATTTTAGCATTTAATTCAATTCCCAATATCATTCGGGCCATGAAATACAAATAAGCACATTACATATGTGAAAGCATGAATCATTTTTTACCCCAACCGTGACTCGAACCGAGACCTTATTATTACTAAGTCAAGGCGCTACCACTGCACCACAGAAGGTTAAAAGGAATCCAACCTTATAGCTTATATCTGCAATACTTCGGAATAAACGCATTCTAACTGAACGCCACTATGTTCATATTACAGATTCCCCAACCACACTCGTGGCTTCATTTTAGCATTTAATTCATTTCCCAATATCATTCGGGCCATGAAATACAAATAAGCACATTACATATGTGAAAACATGAATCATTTTTTACCCCTACCGGGAATCGAACCTAGGACTTATGATTACTAATTCAAGGCGCTACCACTAATCCACAGAAGGTTAAAAGGAACCCAACCTTATAGCTTATATCTACTATACTTCAGAATGAACGCATTCTAACTGAATGCCACTATGTTCATATAACAGATTCCGCAACCTCACTCGTGGGTTCATTTTAGCATTTAATTCAATTCCCAATATCGTTCGGGCCATGAAATACAAATAAGCACATTACATATGTGAAAACATGAATCATTTTTTACCCCGACCGGGATTCGAACCTAGGACTTATTATTACTAAGTCTAGGCACTACCACTACACCACAGATGGTTAAAAGGAATCCAACCTTATAGCTTATATCTGCTATACTTAGGAATGAACGCATTCTAACTGAATGCCACTATGTTCATATTACAGATTCCCCAACCTCACTCGTAGCTTCATTTTAACATTTAATTCAATTCCCAATCTCATTCGGGCCATGAAATACAAATAAGCACATTGCATATGTGAAAACATGAATAATTTTTTTCGCAGACCGGGACTCGAACCTAGGACTTATGATTACTAAGTCAAGGCGCTACCACTACACCACAGGAGGCTAAAAGGAATCCAACCTTATAGCTTATATCTGCTATACTTAGGAATGAACGCATTCTAACTGAATGCCACTATGTTCATATTACAGATTCCCCAACCTCACTCGTGGCTTCATTTTAGCATTTAATTCAATTCCCAATCTCATTCAGGCCTTGAAATACTAATAAGCACATTATATATGTGAAAACATGAATCATTTTTTACCCCGACCGGGAATCGAACCTAGGACTTATTATTACTAAGTCAAGGCGCTACCACTACACCATAGAAGGCTAAAAGGAATCCAACCTTATAGCTTATATCTGCTATACTTAGGAATGAACACATTCTAACTGAATGCCACTATGTTCATATTACAGATTCCCCAACCTCACTAGTGGCTTCATTTTAGCATTTAATTCAATTCCCAATCTCATTCGGGCCATGAAATACAAATAAGCACATTACATATGTGAAAACGTGAATAATTTATTACCCCGACCGGGACTCGAACCTATACCTTATTATTACTAAGTCAAGGCGCTACCACTACACCACAGAAAGTTAAAATGAATCCAACCTTATAGATTACATCTGCTATACTTAGGAATGAACGCATTCTAAATGAATGCCACTATGTTCATATTACAGTTTCCCCATCCTCACTCGTGGCTTCATTTTAGCATTTAATTCAATTCCCAATATCATTCGGGCCATGAAATACAAATAAGCACATTACATATGTGAAAACATGAATCATTTTTTACCCCAACCGGGAATCGAACCGAGACTTTATTATTACTAAGTCAAGTCGCTACCACTACACCACAGAAGGTTAAAAGGAATCCAACCTTATAGCTTATATCTGCTATACTTAGGAATGAACGAATTCTAACTGAATGCCACTATGTTCATATTACAGATTTCCCAACCTCACTCGTGGCTTCATTTTATCATTTAATTCAATTCCCAATCTCATTCGGGCCATGAAATACAAATAAGCACATTACATATGTGAAAACATGAATCATTTTTTACCCCGACAGGGACTCGAACTTAGGATTTATGATTACTAAGTCAAGCCGCTACCACTACACCACAGATGATTAAAAGGAATCCAACCTTATAGCTTATATATGCTATACTTAGGAATGAACGAATTCTAACTGAATGCCACTATGTTCGTATTACAGATTCCCCAACCTCACTCGTGGCTTCATTTTAGCATTTAATTCAATTCAAAATCTCTTTCGGGCAATGAAATATAAATAAGCACATATGAACATAGTGGCAGTCAGTTAAAATGAGTTCTTTCCTAAGTATAGCAGATATAAGCAATAAGGTTGGATTCCTTTTAACCTTCTGTGGTGTAGTGGTAGCGACTTGACTTAGTAATCATAAGTCCTAGGTTCGAGTCCCGGTCGGGGTAAAAATTGATTCATGTTTTCACATATGAAATGTGCTTATTTGTATTTCATGGCCCGAATGATATTGGGAAATGAATTAAATGCTAAAATGAAGCCACGAGTGAGGTTGGGGAATCTGTAATATGAACATAGTGGCATTCAGTTAGAATGCGTTCATTCCTAAGTATTGCAGATATAAGCTATAAGGTTGGATTCCTTTTTTACCTTCTGTGGTGTGGTGGTAGCGCCTTGACTTAGTAATCATAAGGTCTAGGTTCGGGTCCCGGTCGGGGTAAGAAATTATTCATGTTTTCACATATGTAATGTGCTTATTTGTATTTCATGCCCCGAGCGATATTGGGAATTGAATTAAATGCTAAAATGAACCCACGAGTGAGGTTGGGGAATCTGTATTATGAACATAGTGGCATTCAGTTAGAATGCGTTCATTCTGAAGTATAGCAGATATAAGCTATAAGGTTGGATTCCTTTTAACCTGCTGTTGCGCATTGGTAGTCATTTGACGTAGTAATCATAAGTCCTAGGTTCGAGTCCTGGTAGGGGTAAAAAATGATTCATGTTTTCACATATGTAATGGGCTTATTTGTATTTCATGGCCCGAGTGAGATTGGGAATTGAATTAAATGCTAAAATGAAGCCAGGAGTGAGATTGGGGAATCTGTAATATGAACATAGTGGCATTCAGTTAGAATGGGTTCATTCCAAAGTATAGCAGATATAAGCTATAAGGTTGGATTCCTTTTAACCTTCTGTGGTGTAGTGGTAACGCCTTGACTTAGTAATCATATGTCCTAGTTTCGAGTCCCGATCGGGGTAAAATTTGATTCATGTTTTCACATATGTAATATGCTTATTTGTATTTCATGGCCCGAATGATATTGGGAAATGAATTAAATGCTAAAATGAAGCCACGAGAGAGGTTGGGGAATCTGTAATATGAACATAGTGGCATTCAGTTTGAATGCGTTCATTCCTAAGTATAGCAGATATAAGCTATAAGGTTGGATTCCTTTAAAACTTCTGTGGTGTAGTGGTAGCGTCTTGAGTTAGAAATCATAATTCCTAGGTTCGAGTCCCGGTCGGGGTAAAAAAGGATTTATGTTTTCACATATTAAATGTGCTTATTTGTATTTCAGGGCCCGAATGAGATTGGGAATAGAATTAAATGCTAAAATGAAGCCACAAGTGAGGTTGGGGAATCTGTAATATGACCATAGTGGCATTTAGTTAGAATGCGTTCATTCCTAAGTATAGCATATATAAGCTATAAGGTTGGATTCCTTTTAACCTTCTGTGGTGTAGTGGTAGCGCCTTGACTTAGTAATCATAAGTCCTAGGTTCGAGTCCCGGTCGGGGTAAAAAATGATTCATGTTTTCACATATGTAATGTGCTTATTTGTATTTCATGGCCCGGATGAGATTGGGAATTGAATTAAATGCTAAAATGAAGCAACGAGTGAGGTTGGGATTCTGTAATATGAACATAGTGGCATTCAGTTAGAATGCGTTCATTCCTAAGTATAGCAGATATAAGCTATAAGGTTGGATTCCTTTTAAGCTTCTATGGTGTAGTGGTAGCGACTTCACTTAGTAATCATAAGTCCTAGGTTCGATTCCCGGTCGGGGTAAAGAATGATTCATGTTTTCACATATGTAATGTGCTTATTTGTATTTCATAGCCCGAATGAGATTGGGAATTGAATTAAATGCTAAAATGAAGCCACGAGTGAGGTTGGGGAATATGTAATATGAACATAGTGGCATTCAGTAAGAATGCTTTCATTCCAAAGCATAGCAGATATAAGCTATAAGGTTGGATTCCTTTTAACCTTCTGTGGTGTAGTGGTAGCCACTTGACTTAGTAATCATAAGTCCTAGGTTCGAGTCCGGGTCGGGGTAAAAATTGATTCATGTTTTCACATATATAATGTGCTTATTTGTATTTCATGGCCTGAATGATATTGGGAAATGAATTAAATGCTAAAATGAAGCCACGAGTGAGGTTGGGGAATCTGTAACATGAACATAGTGGCATTCAGTTATAATGCGTTCATTCCTAAGTATAGCAAATATAAGCTATAAGGTTGGATTCCTTTTAACCTTCAGTAGTGTAGTGGTAACGCCTTGACTTGTAATCATAAGTCCTAGGTTCGACTCCCGGTCGGGGTAAAAAATGAATCATGTTTTCACATATGTAATGTGCTTATTTGTATTTCATGGCCCGAATGAGATTGGGAATTGAATGAAATGCTAAAATGAAGCCACGAGTGAGGTTGGGGAATCTGTAATATGAACATAGTGGCATTCAGTTAGAATGCGTTCATTTCTAAGTATAGCAGATATAAGCTATAAGGTGGGATTCCTTTTAACCTTCTGTGGTGTAGTGATAGCGACTTGACTTAGTAATCATAAGTCCTAGGTTCGAGTCCTGGTCAGGGTAAAAAATGATTCATGTTTTCACATATGTAATGTGCTTATTTGTATTTCATGGCCCGAATGAGATTGGGAATTGAATTAAATGCTAAAATGAAGCCACGAGTGAGGTTGGGGAATCAGTAATAGAAACATAGTGGCATTCAGTTAGAATGCGTTCATTCCTAAGTATAGCAGATATAAGCTAAAAGGTTGGATTCCATTTAACATTCAGTAGTGTAGTGGTAACGTCTTGACTTGGTAATCATAAGTCCTAGGTTCGAGTCACGGTCGGGTTAAAAAATGAATCATGTTTTCACATATGTAATGTGCTTATTTGTATTTCATGACATGAATGAGATTGGGAATTGACTTAAATGCTAAAATGAAGCCACGAGTGAGGTTGGGGAATCTGTAATATGAACCTAGTGGCATTCAGTTAGAATGCGTTCATTCCGAAGTATAGCAGATATAAGCTATAAGGTTGGATTCCTTTTAACCTTCTGTGGTGTAGTGGTAGCGACTTGACTTAGTAATCATAAGTCCTAGGTTCGAGTCCCGGTCGGGGTAAAAATTGATTCATGTTTTCACATATGTAATGTGCTTATTTGTATTTCATGGCCCGAATGAGATTGGAAATTGAATTAAATGCTAAAATGAAGCCACGAGTGAGGTTGGGGAATCTGTAATATGAACATAGTGGCATTCAGTTAGAATGCGTTCATTCCGAAGTATAGCAGATATAAGCTATAAGGTTGGATTCCTTTTAACCTTCAGTAGTGTAGTGGTAACGCCTTGACTTAGTAATCATAAGTCCTAGGTTTGAGTCACGGTCGGGGTAAAAAAGGAATCATGTTTTCACATATGTAATGTGCTTATTTGTATTTCATGGCCCGAATGAGATTGGGAATTGAATTAAATGCTAAAATGAAGCCACGAGTGAGGTTGGGGAATCTGTAATATGAACATAGTGGCATTCAGTTAGAATGCATTCATTCCTAAGTATAGCAGATATAAGCTATAAGGTTGGATTCCTTTTAACCCTTTGTGGTGTAGTGGTAGCGCCTTGACTTAGAAATCATAAGTCCTAGGTTCGAGTCCCGGTCGGGGTAAAAAATGATTCATGTTTTCACATATGTAATGTGCTTATTTGTATTTCATGGCCCGAATGAGATTGGGAATTGAATTAAATGCTAAAATGAAGCCACGAGCGAGGTTGGGGAATCTGTAATATGAACATAGTGGCATTCAGTTAGAATGCATTCATTCCTAAGTATAGCAGATATAAGCTATAAGGTTGGATTCCTTTTAACCCTTTGTGGTGTAGTGGTAGCGCCTTGACTTAGAAATCATAAGTCCTAGGTTCGAGTCACGGTCGGGGTAAAAAATGAATCATGTTTTCACATACGTAATGTGCTTATTTGTATTTCATGGCCCGAATGAGATTGAGAATTGAATTAAATGCTAAAATGAAGCCACGAGTGAGGATGGGGAATCTGTAATATGAACATAGTGGCATTCAGTTAGAATGCGTTCATTCCGAAGTATAGCAGATATAAGCTATAATGTTGGATTCATTTTAAACTTCTGTGGTGTAGTGGTAGCGTCTTGATTTAGAAATCATAATTCCTAGGTTCGAGTCCGGTCGGGGTAAAAAAGGATTCATGTTTTCACATATTAAATGTGCTTATTTATATTTCAGGGCCCGAATGAGATTGGGAATAGAATTAAATGCTAAAATGAAGCCACAAGTGAGGTTGGGGAATCTGTAATATGACCATAGTGGCATTTAGTTAGAATGCGTTCATTCCAAAGTATAGCATATATAAGCTATAAGGTTGGATTCCTTTTAACCTTCTGTGGTGTAGTGGTAGCGCCTTGACTTAGTAATCATAAGTCCTAGGTTCGAGTCCCGGTCGGGGTAAAAAATGATTTATGTTTTCACATATGTAATGTGCTTATTTGTATTTCATGGCCCGAATGAGATTGGGAATTGAATTAAATGCTAAAATGAAGCAACGAGTGAGGTTGGGATTCTGTAATATGAACATAGTGGCATTCTGTTAGAATGCGTTCATTCCTAAGTATAGCAGATATAAGCTATAAGGTTGGATTCCTTTTAAGCTTCTATGGTGTAGTGGTAGCGACTTCACTTAGTAATCATAAGTCCTAGGGTCGAGTCCCGGTCGGGGTAAAGAATGATTCATGTTTTCACATATGTAATGTGCTTATTTGTATTTCATAGCCCGAATGAGATTGGGAATTGAATTAAATGCTAAAATGAAGCCACGAGTGAGGTTGGGGAATATGTAATATGAACATAGTGGCATTCAGTTAGAATGCGTTCATTCCGAAGTATAGCACATATAAGCTATAAGGTTGGATTCCTTTTAACCTTCTGTGGTGTAGTGGTAGCCACATGACTTAGTAATCATAAGTCCTAGGTTCGACTCCCGGTCGGGGTAAAAAATGAATCATGTTTTCACATATGTAATGTGCTTATTTGTATTTCATGGCCCGAATGAGATTGGGAATTGAATTAAATGCTAAAATGAAGCCACGAGTGAGGTTGGGGAATCTGTAATATGAACATAGTGGCATTCAGTTAGAATGCGTTCATTTCTAAGTATAGCATATATAAGCTATAAGGTTGGATTCCTTTTAACCTTCTGTGGTGTAGTGATAGCGACTTGACTTAGTAATCAAAAGTCCTAGGTTCGAGTCCCGGTCGGGGTAAAAAATGATTCATGTTTTCACATATGTAATGTGCTTATTTGTATTTCATGGCCCGAATGAGATTGGGAATTGAATTAAATGCTAAAATGAAGCCACGAGTGAGGTTGGGGAATCTGTAATATGAACATAGTGGCATTCAGTTAGAATGTGTTTCTTCTTAAGTATAGCAGATATAAGCTAAAAGGTTGGATTCCTTTTAACCTTCAGTAGTGTAGTGGTAACGTCTTGACTTAGTAATCATAAGTCCTAGGTTCGAGTCACGGTCGGGTTAAAAAATGAATCATGTTTTCACATATGTAATGTGCTTATTTGTATTTCATGACATGAATGAGATTGGGAATTGACTTAAATACTAAAATGAAGCCACGAGTGAGGTTGGGGAATCTGTAATATGAACATAGTGGCATTCAGTTAGAATGCGTTCATTCCTAAGTATAGCAGATATAAGCTATAAGGTTGGATTCCTTTTAACCTTCTGTGGTGTAGTGGTAGCGACATGACTTAGTAATCATAAGTCCTAGGTTCGAGTCCCGGTCGGGGTAAAAAATGATTCATGTTTTCACATATGTAATGTGCTTATTTGTATTTCATGGCCCGAATGAGATTGGGAATAGAATTAAATGCTAAAATGAAGCTACGAGTGAGGTTGGGGAATCTGTAATATGAACATAGTGGCATTTAGTTAGAATGCGTTCATTCCTAAGTATAGCAGATATAAGCTATAAGGTTGGATTCCTTTTAACCTTCTGTGGTGTAGTGGTAGTGCCTTGACTTAGTAATCATAAGTCCTAGGTTCGAGTCCCGGTCGGGGTAAAAAATGATTCATGTTTTCACATATGTAAGGTGCTTATTTGTATTTCATTGCCCGAACGAGACTGGGAATTGAATTAAATGCTAAAATGAAGCCACGAGTGAGGTTGGGGAAACTGTAATATGAACATAGTGGCATTCAGTTAGAATGCTTTTATTCCTAAGTATAGCAGATATAAGCTATAAGGTTTGATTCCTTTTAACCTTCTGTGGTGTAGTGGTAGCGACTTGACTTAGTAATCATAAATCCTAGGTTCGAGTCCCGGTCGGGTTAAAAAAATATTCATGTTTTCACATATGTAATGTGTTTATTTGTATTTCATGGCCCGAATGAGATTGGGAATTGAATTAAATGCTAAAATAAAGCCACGAGTGAGGTTGGGGAATCTGTAATATGAACATAGTGGCATTCAGTTAGAATGCTTTTATTCCTAAGTATAGCAGATATAAGCTATAAGGTTTGATTCCTTTTAACCTTCTGTGGTGTAGTGGTAGCGACTTGACTTAGTAATCATAAATCCTAGGTTCGAGTCCCGGTCGGGTTAAAAAATGATTCATGTTTTCACATATGTAATGTGTTTATTTGTATTTCGTGGCCCGAATGAGATTGGGAATTGAATTAAATGCTAAAATAAAGCCAAGAGAGAGGTTTGGGAATCTGTAATATGAACATAGTGGCACTCAGTTAGAATGCGTTCATTCCTAGGTATAGCATATATAAGCTATAAGGTTGGATTCCTTTTAACCTTCTGTGGTGTAGTGGTAGCGACATGACTTAGTAATCATAAGTCCTAGGTGCGAGTCCCGGTAGGGGTAAAAATTGATTCATGTTTTCACATATGTAATGTGCTTATTTGTATTTCATGGCCCGAATGATATTGGGAAATGAATTAAATGCTAAAATGAAGCCACGAGTGAGGTTGGGGAATCTGTAATATGAAAATAGTGGCATTCAGTTAGAATGCGTTCATTCCTAAGTATAGCAGATATAAGCTATAAGGTTGGATTTCTTTTAACCCTTTGTGGTGTAGTGGTAGCGCTTTGACTTAAAAATCATAAGTCCTAGGTTCGAGTCCCGGTCGGGGTAAAAAATGATTCATGTTTTCACATACGTAATGTGCTTATTTGTATTTCATGGCCCGAATGAGATTGGGAATTGACTTAAATGCTAAAATGAAGCCACGAGCGAGGTTGGGGAAACAGTAATATGA